CACCAGTCAGTATCCTTGATCACCGCCATACCCAGAGGCAGACTGACAAGTCATGGGGCCCCCAGGCAATAGGGGATCATGGGGCCCCTGTGTCCTTGGCCAAACTCAAAAAAGCCTATGAAAAAGGTACCAGGGGCATCTCATGGGGCCCCCTACTGACCCTGGGCCCTCGGGCAGTGCCCAAGTTTCCAAATGGTCAGTCCGCCACTGGCCATACCTGTCATATCATGACGCTGTACTGCGCTGGTGACAGTATGTAATAAAAAAATAATGTGAAAAAAAACAACAAATTTTATCTAACTACTTGTTGCCCGCAATGTACATTGCGAGCAAGTGGCAGCTCTGGGCAAAGCGACGGACCAGTACGTCATAATCTATATCCGTGTGTGAGCTTGCATGCGTGCGTCCTCCATGCTGACCCCTTTGTCATTCGCTGCAGGAGCAGTTCATCAGCAGGTCTCTGCCAATGATTTTTGCCAGGGACTCTGCTGATCTCCTGCAGCAAATGGAGAAGCTAGTTCTTCTCTTTCTGGACACTTTTCGATCCAGGGCAAACACCATACTGTGAATAAAAGCACTACATTTTCACACACACGCACGCACGCACGCACGCACGCACACACACGTTAGATTAGCACATTTAACCCTTTGATCACCCCTATTAAGCTTTTGATCATCCCTGTCACCCAGTCAGTACCATTAGTACAGTGTCAGTGTATAGACTTTTTCACTGATCACTGTATTACTGCCACTAAGGACATCAGATAGCACCAGGGTCAGCTAATGCCCCTCGCAGCCAGGATCAGCTAGTTTTAGATTGCCTGCACACTGTCACACTCGCACTATAGTTCACTGATCACTGCCATTACTATGTTAGTGTTTGTACAGATCAATATATTGATCATGAACAGAACTATACTAGTCCCCCCTTAGTGTAGTGTTCCCAAAAACCCAGAAATACTAGTGCTAGCAGGAGCAGCTCAGTTCGCTGCCAGCACTAGTATTTATTTCCCACTAGTATTTCGCTCCCACTTCTACTGCGATCGCCTAGGTGATCGGGAGCGGAAATTGTCCTCCTACCCTCCCCTTAGTCTTCTGGGACACATGACATGCGCAGTGGGCACCCGGCTGTGAAGCCGCAAACTGTCACAGCCGGGTGCCCACACTGACGATGCCGGCGTTAGGGAGAGAAGACGGCTGGTCTGTATTTTAAAAGTCAGCAGCTACAATTTTTGTAGCTGCTGACTTCTTTTTTTCAGGTGGCACTCCGCTTTAAAACAAAGAACATAGATGCCCAAGCATGGGGGCCTGGGGTGGTCATTGGGTGGATGGCTCCTATGCTTTGACATACATTTTTTTCACATTTTTTTGGCAGAGATTTCTTTATCCACATCGATCAGTGTGAATGAGGGAATCTATTCTTTTTTTTTTTTCGTTCAGCCCACAAGCTGCATGAAAAAATAAGACAATTACATAAACTATATTGCCAAAAGTATTGGGACACCCCTCCAAATCATTGAATTCACGTGTTCCAATCACCTTCATGGCCACGTGGTACCATGATAGGTTGCCACCTGTGCAGTAAGTCCATCCGTGAAATTTCCTTTCTTCTACTGTTAGTGGTATTATAACAAAGTGGAAGCAACTGGGATCAACAACAACTCAGCCACGAAGTGGTAGACCACGTAAAATGACAGAATGAGGTCAGCGCATGCTGAAGCGCACAGTGCGCAGAAGTCGCCAACTGTTTGCAAAGTCAATAGCTAAAGACCTCCAAACTTCGTGTGACCTTCAGATTAGCACAACAACAGTGCATAGAGAGCTTCATGGAATGAGTTTCTATGGCAGAGCAGCTGCATCCAAGCCTTACATCACCAAGTTCAATATAAAGCTTCGGATACTGTGGTGAAAAACACGGCACCACTGGACTCTAGAACAGTGGAGACGTGTTTTCTGGAGTGATGAATCTCACTTCTCTGTCTGGCAATCCAAAGGACATGTTTGGGTTTGAACTCTTAAGACGTCAGCATACCATGACATTTTAGGCAATTGCTTCCAACTTTGTGGGGACAGTTTGGGGATGGCCCCTTCCTGTTCCAACATGACTGCACACCACGAGCATAAAGACATGGATGAGCGAGTTTGGGGTGGAGGAACTTGAGTGGGTTGCACAGAGTCCTGACCTCAACAAGATAGAACACCTTTGAAATGAATTAGAACCAGGCCTTCTCATCCAACATCAGTGCCTGACCTCACAAATGCACTTCTGGAAGAATGGTCAAACATTCCCATAGACACACTCCTAAACCTTGTGGACAGCTGTGGACAGCCTTCCCAGAAGAATTGAAGCTGTTATAGCTGCAAAGGGTGAGCCAACTCAATATTAAACCCTATGGACTATGACTGGGATGCCATTAAAGTTCATGTGTGTGTAAAGGCAGGTGTCCCAATACTTTTGACAATAGAGTGTATATGCCCGAAAAGGACCAGCCAAAAAACTGGTACATCGCTGGACTTTGAGTAGTTATACCAGGATATCATCCTGGTATTGTTTGTTTCTTCAGCTGGCAGTAAGATTGCATGTAAAAGCAATCCCTTTTTCATGTAAAAGCAGGGAACCCGAGAATGCAGCCGAGTTCTGCCTGCTGACCATAGAGCTGATTAGAGACGGGAACAGCTCCAATCACCTCTATGGTGAAACCGGAAGCAACGAGCATTTCATCACTTCAGTTTGCGAGATATAAACAGTGCTATTTTTTAATTGGGAAAGCATCTGATCCCACCAATCTTGGTATTATCAGATGATTTAAGGGCAGAGGAGCGATCTAGAGTCTAATAGACCAATATTTCTTAGGAAAGAGTGCCTGTCACTGCCTTTTGTTATCACAGGGAATATTGTGATAACAATAAAAGTGAAAAAAAAATTAAATGGATAGTGTAGAAATAAAAAAGTAAAATAAACAATAAAAAGAAATTAAAGCACCCCCGTCCCCCCGTGTTTGTGTGCACGCACACATTGGTCCTGTAGTGGTATGTACACATCAATTGCACCATGCATGTGAGGTATCACCGTGAATGTCATATTGAGGGCAGTAATTCTAGCACTAGACCTCCTGTGTAAATCTAAAGTGGTAACCTGTAAAGGCTTTTGCATTGCTTATGGATATGGTAAAAATGTATGTAGTTTGTCACCATGCACGGGCATGGGCAATTTTAAAGCATGTCATATTTGGTATCTATTTACTATTTGTGTGTTAACATCATATTTTATATTTAACTAAACAATTGGGCAATATATTGTATTTTTGTGCATTAAAATAAAAAAAAGTATTTTTTCCCAAAAAATTTGCATTTAAAGAAATTGCTGCACAAATACTGTGTGACATAACAAATTGCAAGACCCACCATTTTATTCTCTAGGGCCTGTGATTTAAAAAATAAAAGTGTGGCGGAAGCTTCTAACAAACAGGACAGTTCAAATATTCCCCAAATGACCCCTTTTTGGAAAGTAGACACCCCAAGCTATTTGCTGAGAGGCATGGTGAGTATTTAGCAGATCTCATTTGTAGCCACAAGTTTTTTTTTTTCAAAACCTCTCGACAAAAAAATCATCTTTGCAAAATACTCACCGTGATTCTTATCAAATTCTTTGGAGTGTCTACTTTCTAAAAAGTGGTCATTTGGGGGGGGGGGGGGGGGGGGGGGTGTTTGGACTATCCTTGTGTTTCAGGGCCTTTGAAACTGTGGTAGGTAGATAGGTAGTAAGGAAGTGACATAAGGAAATATGCCGTTTAAAAGCCTTATGGTCATTAGATTTTGGAGGTCTGTATGTGGTTAGGCTGCCAAAAGGTTTCTCACATGTGGTATCCCAATAATCAAGAGAAGGAGCAGAATGTGTTTTGGGGTTTAATTCCACCAGAGAACAGCCTTTTTATAGCATAATCAAAAGGATATCCACTGCTAGGACCAGGAGGTTCCCTAAGAATCATCCTTTTAAGAATGGTTGCCAGGATGGTGAAGACAAAGAATGACACACTATATGAATGTTAATTGAGGTTTATTGAGAACATTGTGTAAAGTATGCACCGCTTGTGGCCACTGGATTAGGGGTGATACCATATTATTAATGTTTTGTGCTTGGAAGGAAAGTGGCAGCAATATAATATTAATATAATTGTTATCTGCATTGGGCGTGATATAGTGACTTTTGGACAACATTCAAGGTGGTCACTTATAGAATAGTTTTATGTAGCAGTATACATTTTGGCTTAAATTTATGGCTAAATTTGAGTTTATTGGATAGTTTTTCATAACAAAAAGTAGAAAAGTAAAAAACCTAGTGGTGATCAAATACCACCAAAAGAAAGCTCTATTTGTATGAAAAAGGACATCAGTTTTGTTTGGATATAGCATTGCATGACTGCGCAGTTACCAGTTGAAATAGCACAGTGCCAAAAAGTAAAAAAAAATGGCCTGGTCAGGAAGGGAAGAGAACCTTCTTGGGCTGAAGTTGTTAAAGTCACGTACAGTGAGGAACAGAAGTATTTGAACACCCTGCGATTTTGCAAGTTCTCCCACTTAGAAATCATGGAGGGGTCTGAAATTTACATCGGCTTTCTGCGGAGGCGACATGTGCACTGATCATCAGGGCACTGATCATCAGTGTGCCCTGATGATCAGTGTGGCCCCAGAAGTGCCACCTTTCAGTGCCCATCAGTGCCATGTGCTAGTGCCACATCAATGCCACATATCAGTGCATACCAGTGCACATCAATGCACATATCAGTGCCCATCTGAGCTGCCTTTCAATGTCACCCATCAGTGCCAGTCAGTGCCACCTATCAGTGCTGCCAATCAGTGCCGCCTATCAGTGCCAGTCAGTGCCGCATATCAGTGCCAGTCAGTGCCGCCTATCAGTGCCAGTCAGAGCCACCTAACAGTGCCAGTCAGTGCCGCCTAACAGCGCCAGCCAGTGCTGCCTAACAGCGCCAGCCAGTGCTGCCTATCAGTGCCAGTCAGTGCTGCCTATCAGTGCCGCCTATCAGTGCCATATATCAGTGTCATGTATCAGTGCTGCCTTTCAGTGCCCATCAGTGATGCCTGTCAATGCCCATCAGTGCAACCTACCAGTGCCTCCTCATCAGTGCCTATCAGTGCAGCCTATCAGTGCCCATCACTGCAGCCTCATTAGCGCACATCAGTGAAGGAGAAAAATCACTTATTTACAAAATTGTATAACAAAAACTAAGAAAAAAAGTTTTTCTTCTCAAAATTTTCAGTGGTTTTTGGTTTGTTTAAGAAAAAATAAAAATACCAGAGGTGATTAAATACTACCAAAATAAAGCTCTATCTGTCTCAAAAAAATGATAAAAATTTCATATGGGTACAGTGTTGCATGACCGCGCAATTGTCATTCAAAGTGTGACAGCGCTGAAAGCTAGAAATTGGCCTGGGCAGGAAGGGGGTATAAGTGCCCTGTAGGCAAGTGGTTAATATAAAAAAAACCTTTGCATTGTTGTTTTGTGGTAATGCACATGCTACAGTGCATTGGTGTGTTGTGATGCCCCTTATTCTAGAAGGCACCCCAGCTCACCCTACTGGGGAAAATGAGTTGTAGCACACATGCATTGCAAGGCAGCACACCAAATTGTGCCAGAAATGGTAAATGCATCTTTCTTGGTGCATCCTGGTGTAGTATATTGTGTGTAATATATATATATATATATATATATATATATATATATATTTGTCTTATGAACTGTTTGGAACTCATATATGAGAAGACAACACCTAGTGCATTAGGCTCCCTAATAATTCTTGATAACGTGTGTGTTAAATGCATTGAAAAAGATGTAAAAGAGCCCTTAAGCCAAGCCTATACAGCTACTCCCTCCCCTTGTGCAACGTGTTACACATGGTGCATGTTACCCTATAAACTTCTCCGTAACACTGCATTAATATTTGGCTTGCATCCACAATTCACCCCTCACACGCTTTGGGATCCAAATCATATATCTGCTTTAGGTTCTGCTGCATCTGTATCAAAAAAAATGGCTTTTGCATGGCATCCTTTCAAAGCACACTGATATGAAATAAGCACATCTTTAATAAAAGACTGTCAGCAAGCAAGCAAGCGGGATCAGAAGATTTACAGAATAAGACACAGTCCATTGAAAGTTGTAAGCGTGGCTTATCTGCTGTCGTCTTGTGAGACAGGATTTGCAAGGTAACCTCCCAGCGACTGCAGTTATACCATATCATCTCATTACAGAATCAGTTAATCAGAGCAAAACAACAATGGGGAGCTTGCTTATGTTTTCAACAGGGGGTGGATATAGCTTATTCTATCAGAATGTGTTGGCTTAAACAAGCCCCCCAAACTCTTTCCACAGATTGAAGTAGAGAAATGCTGGTGCTTGCAGAGAGGATTCTGGGAGCTCTCTGTGGGTATAAATAGCCCTGAGCAGCTGTTGTAATCTCATTTCATCCTCACACATCCCCGGGATGCTAATAACAGCTAGCGATTCGGAGAGACTGTAGGAGAAGACTGAATCACTTCTACACCTCTCTAGCTTTTTATTCACAATCACTCCCATCTCAGTTTTGCCTAGAGTATCACCTGCACTATTTCTTGAACTGTTCTCTATAATGCCATTACTAATACTAAGCTTGTCTCTGTATTATCTTTCTCTAGAATTGCATGATCTGTAATATTAAAGAGTTATTAAACCATCGGATTTTTTGAAGCACTTTTTGCAGCTGATTTGATCTCTTACTGAGCATGCAGCTTTCTTTATCTTTTTGGCCTCACACACATAGGCATATTAAAAGTGGTTGTAAATCTCACATGAGAAATATGAAAAAAGCATATCCTGCTATAGTGTGTATTTGTCTCAATCCAGAGCACTGAGTGTCATTTCTGTTCACTGTCCCATTGCTCTGCTATAATCATGAGTCACCTCTGATGAGTTTTTCTGACACCAAGAGAAAAATAGTGACAGGAGAAAAATAGTGACAGGAGAAAAATAGTGACAGGGGAAAAAAAAACACCCTGTGATTGACAACTGCAGCTCTATTCCTATGTGCTGTGTGAAGGGGGTATGTTTCTTCCTTCCAATAAGCTCTCAGAGATCTCCTCACTGATGTAACTTCAGCTCTCTGCCCCCTTCTCTCAGAGCTGAGAGAGCCTGTGTAAATTCTTCACTTTGAATGGATGTACAGGACAGATAGCTGTAGATAAACAGGTACAATTTATGTAGGAGGATTTGTTTAATCTCTGTGTATCACCTGAGGCCAATCACTTCACTGGGTATATGTAAGTGTAGCACTACCCTCCCAAGGGCCACTGAGTAATTTTCGGGTTCCCTGTCTTTCTTGACCCCACTCTGGAAGCCCAATCCCTGCTGACACCACTGTAAACCTGTGGCCAGAAGAACCCTCTGGCTGGAATCATAAAACAGAATCACACACAGTTTAGAGTGAACTGATATTTTGGTTGTATTGAGGTTAAATGTAAACACAGTATATCAACAGCAAAATATGTGCATGAAATAACAGCTATCATGCTTCATAACTTCAAGGAAGGATCACAACACAGCGCAATCTCAATCAAGCAGTTAAAAATGTCCTGCAATTCAGAATTGAAACGGTAGCCCCAGTCCAGAGATGTTTCTTCCCCCCGAGACAAAAAAACCCAAACCAAACAGAGAGGCTAAATCACTTTGGGCTCTCAGTGGCTGGTGGTTGGGTTTACAGTAATTCTTCAATTAAATAGGCCAATGTCCCTTTAACTGCAGTGTCTGATCTTCTGTGCGCTCTGTGGGAACCTAGTTGTTACACTTAAAGATTCAATGCTTCCTTGAGGCAAAGGCAGAATTTCTTTAGCAGAGTGTAAACAAAAAAGGCAGGGAGTTTCCCCTTTAAGTGATATTGAATTTTAATTGCACCCATTTAACACACACAGGGTTGGATGTAAATTGAGGCAGAGATGAAAGGATGAGCAAGAACACACTTCTGATTCTTCCTTGGACCTTATACCATGGTAGCAAACTGCAGCAATGAAGGAGCTCCTTGGCAAATGGGGCAGACTATATTGGGGCAATAATACAGCTTGACCTGTGGAGGGCAGATATCACACTGGACTCTTGTGACTGAATATGCTGAAAAAGTAATAACTAGTAGGCTACACAACCCGAGTCTTAACACGTGTAACTTGAGAACCAATGGTAGTCAAACGGAGTAGAAAGTAACTGAATTTAGTAATGTCATGTGCAGCTCAGATGGGTTGAATATGGCACTCTCTAACCAGATCCATGGCCTCGGTCAGGTGGCAGATAGTCTCCCTGTAGACGGGGGGCCCCCGTTTCCTCATGGTTTCTTTATCAGAGATCACTCTGGTACACCTGCCCAAAGGGCCATCCACCAGACTTGTCAGTGGTGTCAACGGTCACCAATTCCTCCTCTCTCTTCCACTTTCTGCGGTATGGCCCAGCTTGGACCTCCAGTGTCCCGCATGGTCTTACACCCCTTACACTTGCTCTCCAGTTCTCTCTCCGTCCACTTCCTGTCCTCGGGTTCCCTGGCATTTGTATTTGTTTACCTCTGCCAATCTGCCATTCCTCTAGTTAATGTAGTTTGTTAGTTTTCTGTCAAATAATAAAGTACTGCAATCAGCCTACGAATCCCCAAAGTTTTCAACAGAGTCTAAATAACTGGACTGCAAGATACTGCCATCTTGTGTCCATTTAATATCCTGCAAGCATTACTACAGCAGGGTGTTACAGTAACTGCAAGTACAGATCACAACACAGCACAATATCAATCAGTTCTAGATGTCCTGCAATTCAAAATTTAAATGGTAGCCTCAATCCTGAGATGTATCTTCCCCAGTGAGAGCCAAAAAAACTACCAAACAGAGAGACTAACTGTAATGCACCACCTGGCGGTACCTCTAGCAACCCACGGAATAGGATTCCCCAGAGCGCAGAGTCTAAGTCCCAGTCTGCTTGTTCACCAGGGCCACTGATGGTGGGGATAGACTTGGAGCAGACAGAGACCAGGTCATGGCCCCCTGAGTACACCCACCCGTGGTAGAGGGATCCGCCAGAGGTATATTCTGGAGGAGATCCTGACGTGAAGAGGTGGATGGGTCCGTGCAGGACGGATGGATGGATGGCTGAGCAGAAGTGTGGTCAGACAGGCTGGGTCAGTAACGGTGGGGACAGCGCGGTACAAGGCAGCAGGCACAGAATAGTCGGGTTACTCGCCGGGTCAGTAACAGGAGGTCAGATCCAATGGGGGTATCCAAAGAGAAGTCAAACAGGCCAGGGGTCAGGGCAGGAGAAGACAGCACGGTCAGGATCAAGCAGGGTTGGCGGCAATCAAATAACGGGTACACAGAAACAGGAACAGGTAGATTAGACCATACGGCAACCAGTGTCAGTACAGAGAGGATTTAAATAGCGCGCCCTGCACTGTCATTGGTGCCAGGCGCACGCTCGCAATCCCAAGTGCGCATGCACGAGTGCCGCCGCCGTCGCGGCCGCACAGCACCTAGCGCCTGCAAGCTAGTGCGAATCGGCACACTGCGCCTGCGCAGAGCCGCCCGCCGCAATGGATCCTGACACTAACTCACTTTAGGCTCTCAGTGGATGATGGCTGGGTTTAATTCTGAGGACAGAAGACCTCTTCAATTAAATAGGCCAATGTCCCTTTAACCGCAGTGACTGATCCTCTGCGCGCTTGATGGGGCCCTAGTTGGTGCACATAAGGATTCAAATCTTCCATGAAGCAAAGGTAGAAGTTTCTTAATAGAGGGTGAACACAAAGGAAGGGAGCTGCCCCTTAAAGAGGTATCATTCAAATTCAATATCACTTAAAGACACACAGGGTGAGATGTAAAACTAGGCAGAGATTAAAGAATGGGCAAAAATGTGCTTCTGTAGGGATTAGTTCTTCTCTGGACCACAATGGCATACTGCAGCAATGAAGGAGCTCCTTGGTTTGACCTGCAGAGGGCAGGTATTGCAGTAGACTCTTGTGAATGGATATGCAATAACTAGTAGGCCTTAACATGTGTAACATGAGAAACAATGGCAGTCAAAACTGAGTAGTAAGTAACTGAATTTAGTAATGTAATTTGCAATTAGATGGTTGTGTATGGAACTTTCTCACCCGATCCGTGGCCTCAGTCTGTCTGTAGATGGGAGCCCCCATGTTCTCATGGTTCCTCCTTCAGAGATCACTCTGGACAACAGCACTCCAGTCCACCTGTTTACAGGGCTGTCCGCCAGAGTTGTCAACAGTATCAGTGGTCATCAATTCCTCC